GAGATGCAATGAGATGCTGTCACAGTGCACATGGCCCACTGATTAGGACGGATGTGAGAGAACACCATCCACATCTTGGGTTTCCATTTCTTTGTTATTCTCGAAAATGGCAGCCTGGCCATTTTCACTGGCACATGCAGTCTCCATCCATCCATCACCCACAGCCCTCATGATAAATATGCAGCAGACACCAGGACAGGGCTGAGGCCACACTCGACAGGCCGACGCTGCACATGTACGTGGTTACAGCAATGATCAGCCACAACTGAAGGACCCCCTCCCCCAGCCCAGGACAAACAGGGATCTTCCCAGGGGGGTTAGGACTCCTCGTGGACAAATCAAAACAATGTCTCTGGCTCCTCATTGCCACCTCGGGGTCAGCACCCATCTCTCTGAGCGCAGTGGACCACCACGTGTCCCAGGGTTAGCTGAGCTTCTCCAAATCCGGCATTCACGGGCATGGCTTCAGCTAATCCCCCCAACAGCCCTGCGAAACTGCCTGTGGTTGCCACCTCCCCATGGCTTACAGAAATGATGTGTTCAGTCCCAAAGCTAAGGCTTTGAGGTGGGGCCTTGATTTTAAGTTCCATCCCTTTCTAAGGCACCAAAGCCACCTTCCGTGACACTGATGGGGCGAGTCCTTGTCCCTTCCCTAGGTCCCTTCTTGACTCCTCACCCCAAATCCTTGGAACCTTTGCCTGCTCAGCCCAGAGAGCTGAGAGCCACTGTTTCGGTGGGACCCCCTCTCCCACCAATTAGGCGGCTCCAGGACCCTCCTGGTGAGGAACTCTCACACCAGTCACTCAAGAAGCCAAGGCTTGGGTGTGAAGTGTTCCCTCTGACCTATGACCTCAGGGCCAAAGCCCTGGTCCTTTGCCATCACTGCTGTTTCTTGGCAGGTCATTGCAGTACTCAGATTACCTTATGAAACGCCAGGTGGCAAGTCTCCAGCTGTGAAGTGGGCGATGACTTACAGACACACAGGATGCCTGTGCCAGGAGTGGAAACAAGTGCTTCATGGGCATCACCTTGGTTCTGCTTAGTGCTGCCCGGGCTTCCGGTTCAGCCCTCAGTCTAGCTCTGCAGAGCTCCGTCTCTCTGTGTGTCATTAAAAAGTTAAAAACTAAAGCCACAAGAAGGTCGTCATTATCTACTACATGCCAGGCACCGTTCTGGACACTTGGGAAACATTTAAGTTATGCAACACATGGCCCCACATTCAAAGAGCTCACAGGAAGGTGCATCAGAAATAGGCAAATACCTAAGACTGTATACATTATAAGCAAGTGGTATAGACTAAAAGAACTGAGAATTTAGAAGAGGGAAGATGGCTATATTTAGCTAGAAGGGTCATAGGAAACTGAAAGGAAGCTGAGCTGTGAACAGAAGAGGGGAGCTTATGGGAAAAGGGAAGCGACCACATCGCAGGTGAGAGGAGCTGCAGGACCAAGACACGCGTGGATTCTCTCGAGAATTTACGGAACAGCTTTCCTCAAATTCCTTGGTTCTTCTATGAAACTGAAACCGAGTTCCCCTGCCCAGTTTATCATTAATCTCTCTATCCAAAATGTTACTCCCTTTCTGGGCCCCTCTGACCTCAATCCTGTGCTAACTGAACACTCGTCCACCAGTCAGATCACTCCGGCTGCTGCTGTCAATACCATGTTAATGTCCTAAACCCGCTGTTTAGATATCACTGGCAAGGTACAGACTCAGGTTGTTTCTCAAGGGCAAGATGAGCCAACAGACCCTGGAGCCGGGCCACCTGGCCTGAGAATCTTAAACCAGAGGCATCCTGACTCCTGAAATCACAATTAAGGAAAGTCACAGAAATGTCTCGACAAGATGCTTAACCTTAGCTTTATGCTCTTCCCCCTTTAGAGCCACCCCAACCCCCTGCCACCTCACAGACCGAGTCGGAGTGGGTCTGAGCCTTGTCTCCCACTCCCTTGCTCAGAGCCCTGTAATAAATCCTGACTTAGAGGGAACACTTGCTGTCAGAGTTTGACTCTGCATTGAAGGCACAGGAGCCCTTTTGCTCGTTTACAAAACTCCTTCCACTAAACAAGCACTGCCCCAAAGTGTGCAGCTTGAAGAAAGAAATCTGAGGTCTAAGAGGCCAGAGAATGCTTCAGACCACTTTCTCCTCTCGAGACCAAATCATGCATTATTAGCATGCTAACGGCTCTGAGAAGTCCTGCAGTAAGGAAACCCTTTCAGTGTTGTTTAACCCACATTTACTTGGCCACAGACCATGAGTTCCATACTTGACACCTGTTTCCGTCCTGAGACACGACTGCTCAAGGGAACCTACTTAGGGAAACTCTCCTTAAACCAGGCCTCTTCAACTGAGCAGGGTTTCTGGCGCTGGGCAGGGGGAGGAGGGAGCTGTGGGGTGACAGAAATCCCCAGGGGAGCTAACTCTCTGGATGGCGCAGCAGCAGCAACAAAGGGAAAGAAGTCTGTTGACAGGAAGAGTCAACAGATCCTGGGAAAGAATGAGGAGGAACTAGTCTGTGATTCCGGCTGATGAGAAAAGCTCACGGTAGTGTAGACAACTTGAGGCAACGATCCAAGGACGCACATGAGGCACTAGCATGTTCACTGGAGAAACCCACCCAGGGAACTCTGAGCAGGTGACTGGTGTTTTACTTTTGTATTATTCAAAAACTCTTACTTGAAGGAAGGTCTTATATGTTGGATTATAATCCACATAATCTTTAAAGCAGACTTCAGTTTTCTGCCTTTCAAGTTGAGGAGGATATTTCCTAACGACTCACTTGGTTACCTGGGGCTTACTACTCGCAGCTCTTGCAAATGCCTGCCCTCACCCCATCCTTGCCCAGAAAGCAGGGCTGAGAAGCAGGGTGATGAGGAGGGTCCCCCCTCTCCCCAGCAGCAAAGCCTGGTGGGCATGGAGACCCAGCCTACTATCCCCTCAGGCTCCTCCTACTCCAACCACGAATACCAGTAACCCCTCTTCCAGGATGTTCCTCATCCCAAATGTCCTATGATCCCCCACAGCGCCATCCACACACCCCAGAAATTACACTTCAAGATCCAACTCCTTTTTCCCTTCTGCAAAGGGCAAAGAGATCCGTGGTTTTTTGGGTTTTGGTGTTTTGGTGCAAATTCCCTTTGGTAAACAAGGTCAACTTAACAGACCACAAGATTTTCAGAAAGCTCTCCATGACTACTTGGAAAATTTAAACATGGCAACAGAATATGCTAAATAGTTTTTGCCCAACCAGATCATGAACAAATGTATAAACAGATTTATAACTAGAACAAGAAATGTTCTTTCAGGGCGGGGGGTGGGTGGAGAGAAAAATCTTAAGGTGATTTAGCCCAGAACTCCTGTCGCTAACACTGCAGGCGTGTGATGGTGAGGTCAGCAAGGGTGCACACCCCAATGGAGAGAAACACACACGCCATCTAGGATGGCAGACAAACACAACAAAGCATTTATTTTTGGCTTTGAGCCCTATTTCTCTACTTAAATACTGCTCAGTTAGTTGGAAGCCCAAAGAAACAATTTCTGCCCAACTAATGAGGCATATTTGGAAGCTCTGTTTCCATTCCCCTCCCCACTCGGCTTTCCCCAGCCCCTGCTCCGTGGCAGCCCGAGCAGAGGCCATCTCCAGACCGTGTGGACACTGAGGGAATTTTATCTATATTCACCCTGTCACATGTGCCAGAGAGTACAGGGAAGGGCAGGGTCTAATACCCTACCCTCAACAGGGGTGATTTTAGCACCCCCACCTCAACCACCAGGGGACCCTGGGCCAGGTCTGGAGACCTTCTTGGTTGTCACAGTGAGGGGACTGGACATGACTGGCATCTAGTCAGTGGGGCCAGGGATGCTGCTCAATATCCCACAGTTCATAGGATGGCATCCGCTATAAGGAGCTATCTGGCCCAAAGTGTCGATCGTGCCAAGGTTGGGAAACCCTGCACTAAATGAACAGAGCACATGACGGGAACGATACACGTGTGCTGTCTGTAAACCTGGACGCAGTAACAGCACCCAGTACCCAGATGCGGGGTATCACGGAGTCCGACACCATGAAGTAAACTGGACCCTCCAGCCAAGCGCCACATGAGGATGCCTTAAGCTGAAGTGCCAATACAGTGAGTTTCATATCTGTTCATAAATGTGGGTAAGCAGGGACATACTGGATCAAAGCCGTATCAACGGGCCATCATCCTGACCAATATATCATTGTGCCATTTGAGAGCACAAAACAGCGAAGTAGAATTGTTTTAACTGTCTCCATTTTCTTAAAAAAATGGAAATGGCAAATATTTAAACTATAAACAAAAGGTACCAGTGAGGGAACTGAATCAAAAGTGAAAACTGAGGAACAACTAATAAACTAGAGTGATTTCACATGCCCAAGGTCAATCATGTTAATTCCTTGGTAGTTGATTATGACAGAAATGGGTACAGTTAGACGGCTACCAGGAGATCTCTGTTCTGGTAATCAAATACTGTCATACTCTTGGCAAGCCCGCACACACTCTTCCAACGAGCTACATCACAAGATTCACCCATACCAACAAAATTTAACATAATCATGAAACACTGGATTTCAAGAGACGTAGGAGTACTTGAGAAAGTGGTCTCTGAAATAAGACCCACACCAGCCTCCTAAGCAAGATGTAAGGAGAACCAGCTTTACTATTATCATTTACCATTAGCTTTCAGAAGTCCCCAAAGACATCACAGGTTGCAGAAAAAGAAAACAGAAACTTGAGTGCGAAGCAGCTTTATGCAGTGTGAACGGAAAATGCAGGTGCACAATATGTCAAAAAAAAAAAAGCAAAGATATTAAAAATGCAAAATGCTGCCAACTTTATACTAAACTTAAAAATCATAAAAACCAAATGGAAGACCATTCTGAGTCGTCTGCCACAGACCCGAAGGCTGTTTATTATTTCACATGTTCTACTGCAGAATTAATATCAAGTTTTAGAAGTAGGAGAAAAAAAAAACTAACCTTAAGGTTATCAAAGGTTTTGACAGTCTGCGCCAAGTCACTGACACTCCCTGGCGATGCTGTCCCCTGTCCCCTAGGGCCTGAGGACACCCGCGAGCCGTCAATGACCTCAAAGCCAGAAAGCAAGGCCTCTGAACAGCTGCAATGAGACTCCTTCGCTCTCTGACCCGCTATCAGGTATGTCTTCAAACCTATGGATTAAAAATTACAGTCAGCACAGGTGGACACCAGCGATGGTCGAAATGCAGCTCAGTCTTGCTCTCTACGCAGGACACGCTCCTGGAAAGTTGAGAGTAAAGTGAAAATGTGAACAGGCTGTATTTTACTACTCTGCCCCCATGACCTCTGCAGAGACGCGCAGGCTTAGGGGGACGTCTGCCTCCCAGACCCACCACGTATTCACGTTACGTTTTCCCTGAATGATGGCTGCACAGTTCATCTTCTGGGGCTGGAAGGAGCATCACAAAGTTCCTCTTTGAAAGGGTCACATGGCCTCCCGGTGAAGGCAGCTGTGCCGACTGACGGTGGATGCTCTATCTTTCTTGGGTTTGTTTCCATCTGGCAATACCGGTCACCTACATTCACAGTGGTCAGTCTGGGTGTGAGGGTGACCTAGAGTACAGACCGTTTTCCCTGCTTCAGGGGTTGCAAACTGCCATGAAAAGGGAGACCGTAACGTGCAGCCAGAGGGGTAACTAAGCCCTCACTTGATTCCGATTTCTTAAGAATCTATTTCCTGCTGGATCCAAACATGCATAGCAGCAACACTCGGTTTGTGTCAAGCTGCAGTCTACGTGAATATTACTCTCTCACAAAATCCCCATTAAATTAAAAAAAAAAAGTTGGTTAAATGGACAATTAACCTCCAACTTTACAAGTCCCATTAAAAGCTGAAATCACTGTGTAAGCTACACTGCTAAGTAGCTGCAGCAGGCAGGCTGGTCCCTCTCTGGTTTGCAGAACTACCTGCTGGGAGAGTAACAAGGAGCAGCTTTTCCAGATGGAACTCAAGGAATTTCTGAAAAAGAAGCAAACCTTATTTAAAGAAATCCACTGTTAGTCCTTAACTGGAATTTAACCAGACTGCGAATTTATGAAAGGGAGTGACAATGTAATCTATCCAATAAACATTCATTTTTAGGCCTGATGTGTGCTGAGAATAAAATCAGAACAAAGCAGGGTTCCCAACTGAAAGAGTTGAAGCTGCAGCAGACGGTGGTAAAGAAAAGTCATCACGGAAGAAGACTCATCAAGAGGTGATATGTGTCCACACTACTGAATCCATACTCAGTTTCCTGCACTCAGTACACATTTAATAAATGTTCTAAAATTAAGCAAATAACCCTGGGACTACTTAATTACGAACTCTTCATCATTTTATAATTAAACCATGTTTCATCGCTTTATCTTTCTTCCTCTCCCTCCCTCCTCATAAAAATACTGTACGGCATATGTTTTTAAGTCAACTGTTCTGAGAATTTGGCATGGGCCTGGGATACCCAGAGACACCCAGGAGTGCAGCCAAGTCACAGGTGGGAATCCAAAGACCCAGATGAATAATTTTAGATGCTAACTGACCTCAAAGGAGATTGTTAAATGCTCACTCTTAACTAAGGTCCTGAACTTCCAGGTATTTTTCCCCAACAAAAATGAACAGCCCAATTTATATATAGGACCAATCACAGCCATGACTAATTACATGTATAAACCTGAAAGGGAAACAGGAACTGGAATACAAAGGAAGATGGAAAGGCACCTTTGCATGAATTTCTCAGACTCTGTTACAGACACCGTTGAACTGATTTTGCGGTTTCACCCTGGGAGGGTCGGAAAATACAAGCTCTGTGGGCTAATGAGAGAAAAGCCCTGTTTCCAACCTGTCGTGGGGTCTCTGAGCTGCAAGGGCTCATTCCTGGCTTCACAAAGCCCGTGTGTGGCGAGGCCTCATCCCTGGAGCTGCTGCAACAGCCCCTCTATGGCTCCCAGGTGTGGCAGCAGATGGGGAGAGGGGCCCACAGCAGGGGTGGCCTTGGGGACCAGGAGGAAGGACACGTTTTTTGATTGCAGGGGGTGAGGAGCTGCAGCTAAAGTGAGGAGTCCTATTGTGCTGTGACTCGTCCTGAACCCAGAAAAGCGTGCCCTGCACGAGGCTCTGCGCCCCGGTCCTGCCCTCAGTCAGCTCACTCACACCAGGAAGGGTTATTGGTCAGGGGACCGCTTATCCCTTCCCCATGTGGCTCCGGTCTGGCAAGAGCAGGTGAAGGAGACCCTTCCTGGAGGTAAGACAAGTAAAGCAGAGGCAAAGCGGAGCCTGTAGACCCGCAGAGCACGACACTGCAGCTGGTCCTCGACGCAGGGACACAGCCTCCACCCAGAACGCGGAGCAGGGCGCTGGCTCTGCAGCACGAGCCCTGACGCCTGCCTTGGGGGGTACCTCCCCAAGGCTTGTCACTGCCGCTGTGAGTCGTGACTTCCGAGTTGCTGTTCAGTGGTCAAACATTTATTAAGTGCCTCCTGCTTACTATGCACTGCTGCGGTGGGAGGCAAGTGTGAACACAGCAGCTGTGACTCTGCCTGTATGGGGCCACTTCCTTAAGGCGGATCTCAGTGGCAGGCAGCTGTGCCAAGATGCCAGGACCAGGAAGCACAGGAGGGTGGCATCTCACAAAGACTCAGGGCTCAGGGAAGGCCTCCTGGATGAAGGCCCCTCCAAACTGAGCACAAGAAAATGAAGCGAGGCCTGAGCAGTGAAAGCCAACGGGACCAGAAACTAGGGCAGCTGTCGTCAGGCCATAGGTGTTACCAGAACAGTTGGTGAACAAGCCCCCAGAAAGGGAGCCTTTGGCAGGCAGAGCTGAGGGATGAAGACGAGCTCCGTGTGGCTGGAGCAGCCAGAGAGGAGCTGGAGTCCGTGCAGAGTGCCAGGCAGACCAGCTCCAGGAGGCTCCAAGCTGGGGACAACAGGGTGGGGAGAAGGAGTGAGCAGGCCCAAGGCTGAGGGAAGGCCACCACAAGTGGGCAGTCAGAGAGTCAAGGGACAAAGGAATTGGGAAATAATGGTGGGGACAGAAACCTACTCTCCCCAAGTGCAGGAGTGACAGGCAATGCTTCCCCAGCAGGTGTGACTGATGGGTGACTGCATGTGGCCCAGGGGAGGAGCCCTCAGATTCAGGCTGTGCCCCTCCCAAAAGAGTGATGGAATGAGGTCCTTCATCGCTCTGCATCTTGCTAACAAGAGGACTCAGCCCAAAGGGCTGATGTGAGATCAAATGATTAATACACATGAAAGGGTGCCAGGCACATAGCAAAAACTCAATAACGTTGGCTATTATTACCAGTGTGGGTGTCTGACCTGCTTATCACTGGGTAAGCTCCTTCAATGTACAAAAGCATTTGCAGAACTGTTAAATCAATAACTGCCTTGAATTTGTTCCTAATTTGAATTTTTCTTTAGGGTGCCCCTCATGACCAACCTGTATTATTAACACAACAATGCTAGTGGTCCAAAGGGCAAACGCACAGATGTGTCCATGGCAAGCAAAATCAGTGAACAAGTTAAGCAACTTTTAATGTATGATTCAATATGGAAAGCTAAATGTAAAGTGAAACCTTTTGCCAAAACTGGAGCGATATCAACATGATAAAGCCAGGGCTTCGCTGCTGGATATGAGCTATCCCAGGGAACATATCAGGGCCGGGTGACCGGGTCCTAGCCCCTTTAAAGTCTTCAGTCAAGAGAGGTCATAAGAGATAAGGATTTAATGATTAACCACACACATGGACCCTGGGGTCCAAGTTCGTTAGAATGGCTCTTTTAGAGCAGAAGGTCAAAATAAGGCAGCTAAATTATTTATTCTGTTAAGTCTAGTGTAAACAAGAGAACAATTACTAAGATTTCTTATACGCTTTCCTGGTAATTGACTTGAAATCTCACCAGCACTGATGCCTTTTATTAGCTTAATTTTACAGCAGCCAGAGAAGTGAAGGAGGTGTTTCCCACGCACTCCTATCTGGCAGAGGCGTTGTCTGAGGCTGCGTGTGCCCTGGAGACTGACGTGGTTAACAATCTTAAGCATATCATCAGTTCTTTGAGGACAAAAAGCATGCCCTGTACACAATTCATGTTTAGTTTTGGTGAACTGAGAGTAACCTGAGTGAGTGTCAAAGTCCATTTTGGAAAAGAAAGACTATCCTGGCCTCTTTATTGTGGTCTTTTTCTGCAGGACTCTTGCTTTGGAGTGCAATGTCCTCAGTCCAAGAACCAAGGACCTGACTGCCAGTGCAACAAAGAGGAGAAAAACCACGAAGGAAAGAATGTTTGGAGGCACGACCTTGGGAGTTAGTAGCGTGACACAGCAAACTCCTAGAAGCTTGCATCACTAATGGTTTGAAACAATAAATCAGTGTGGGCTAGTTCACAAACATTCTACAATTTTACTTCACTTTGTAATGTATTCTTCCTCATAACTAGGTCTGTAAAGGCCAAGTAGCAATGAGGATGATTTAAACTAAAATGCAGTCAGTCAATAAGGAAAATAAAGATTAAAAGTGCTCTTAATTTTAATCTACCAACCAGGGGCTACAAGATTATAAGTATACATATTTCATAATGATCTATTGCTTCTGCTTAAGACGACCAAGAGTTTTGGTGCGAAAAAGATAACCATTTTCCACCCTGTTAACATCAAAACACTCTGGATGGGCCTACGTCCTTTATACTCCCACATGAAACGATTCCTCACAAGGTTGTCCCAAGACTTGACAATAAACCGCAAGTTCCAGCGGCAAATGGATGTTGGTGAAACTTAACCTCTTTTTAAAAAATGAAGTCCCAAACAATAAAAAACGAAACGATTTATCTAAGCAGGAGAAAGAAACAAGGTGGGCACCATGCCTGCTTAGCCTGCTCTGGACTAAAACTTAGTCCAGACTAAGTCCTGTCCCCCAGCCCACTCCTGCGGTGGGTGCCCTCTGCACCAGCTTCTACTCTGCGGTCACAGGTAAATGTGCTGCCATCACGGCCAAAGGTGAGTGACCGGGCAGCCACCTAGTGACCACGTCCCCGTGAGCCGTCTTCTTTTGAACTTTCCCATTTGGCATTAGTAAGCGCTCCCCTGCTCAATACTGTGTTGCTGAGAACTGACACAGGAAAGCCCAGTGTCACCACCTTCAAAGACCACCCCTCCCACCT